TGCAGCACGGCCACTGCTGGAGCCAGTGCTGGATGCACAACACTGGAAAATACACACTTCTATTAATTACTTTACATATTCAACTAAGCATTTCACTCAGAAACAACTTTCCAGCTGAGCTGTTAGCTTAGTCTTATTGCTTTGTTTGCTTTACTGGTTTTTACTTTTCTGTTAACAGAAAGAAGGAGGTTATGCAAAGTTAAAGAAAGGCAGAAGAAGTAAGCCTTCTGTTTAGGATGTTCTGGAGTACTGAAAGAAAGCTCTGGGTATGCTCATTACAAACTTTAATTTTTTTTTATTAAAATAATATCACATGTCTATAAGACTTCCTGCTCTTTCAGATTATGATAATGAGATTAGCTCTCTTCAAAAGAGCCATTTCACTAAACAGTTGGCTTCTAGACCAAAATAATGAGGTAATACAAGCCAACATTCTTGGGTTTATTGGAAATGAAAAAATAAAGCTTAATTTTCTTTTTTTTTTTTTTTTTTTTGCAAAACAGAAAACATTAAATATAAAAGGCATCTTGTACTTAGAACTTAAAATTTGGCTTAAATTTGTATTTTGATTGGCTCATTTTCTTTTAGACTAAAATAAGCCTTTTTTTGTGTGCTGCAGAGTTTAATTTGAATCTGAGCTGAAGTTAAAACCACAAGCCATTAAAGTGAAGCTACCTACGTTATTTAATATCTTCACATGCAGTGGGGTGGCTAAAGGCTTTTGTGATGCTAAGATCTAATCTAAAGACAAAGTGGTCTGTCATACAAAATGAATACATTTAGTTTTGTGACCTGATATTTCAACCCACATCACGGGCAGATGTCAATAATAACCTTGCAGGATAGAAGAAGCTTTTCCTTTGAATATTAAGGATACACACAGCATACAAAACCCACCAGTTTTATTGCCCCAGTGCCTGTCACACGTTACCAGCAGTAGCACATGCAGGAAGGAGTAGCCTATACAGTTAGCTGTTTTAGAGATAAATAGAAGCATATGTATTCATTCGTGTATTTCCAGAGAAAATACTGATGTAGGCAAGATGGTCACAGACAAAACAGCACAACAATGTATATTGTCCAAAACAAACAAAAATATAAATAAATTATTTATTCATGAGTTAAGTGCCACAGGATCAAGCAGATCATAGTAGGTGATGCTTAAACCCTGGAGAGGAAACAGCATCTTCCATGAAGTGTTTAAAATATGATTTCTAAGGCTCCCATTGGTGTGTGTTCTTCATTGGTGTTAATGACTGAAAGAGAACACTAGAGCTGAAATAGCTTCCATTATTGGATCCATGCCTGCAGTTTTGATAAGGAAAAGCTTTGCTCAGAATTCCTTTATCGTGTGTTCCTACACGTGCACTCAGAGTGCATGTTTTCATTGGAACACTTGACAATTACTGGTAAGTTCTCATATTTACTGTGCAGCAAGATTTATGGGTGAGGAGGTCTTCAATGGAATTCAATGATGTAGTCAACAGGAAGGATGTGGATCTATAATTCATTACAATAAACCCTTTTTTTTATTATCATCTTGCAAAAAGGGTCAGTTTTTATGAATAATGTGCCAAGTTGCACAGCCTCTTAACTTGTTCAGGGAATCACAGCATAATCCTAATTTTTTTCTTTGCTTTGCTGATGAAAATACTGGGTATGCTAATAAAGCAAGATCAGAGGACTATTTAACATTAAGAAGTTGAACATTTGATTCTAACGCTAAATGATTCTTATTCATTCGGTTTTTTCCCCATGTGTAGACAATCCCCTACTTTCTAGGGAAGGATGCAGGCTTTTCCTTGCATAAGAAGAAAATAAATGTTATTATCATGCTAGATATTGAGCATGAGATGGAGACACTCCCCTCCTGCCCCCATAGGTAGGGGTCTGGACTACAGTGGGTACATTCATCTTTTTCCAAGGCCATGCAGACTGGGACCCTGGAACCTCCATGTCTGCTGAAGTGCACAGGCCAAGGGGTGGGGCAGGATGTCTGCTGCTGCTGAGAGAGCTCTGCAGAGTCTGTTGTACATGGCTACTGGATTTCCATGGCATTTTATAGGAGTTCCTATGTCTAACATTGTTCTGCTGACCACTTGCCCAATATAGAATGATATTGTCATTAACAGGCAGACCAGCAGCCAAACCCCTCCCTCCACTCCCACATCACACCCCAGAGATCCAAAGTGCCAGACAGCCAGAGGAGGAACAAGTCAATGCACTCACCCACCACAGGGGATGTGAAGAATGGAGCAAGCCAGGCAAGGAGCCAAGCCATGGGAGATGGGAGCAGCCAGACCACGAGCCCAGTGATAGGAACTCTGAGACAGCTTTATAGGGTCTGGTCCTGCTGCCCTGGGAACTACACTTGCTATGAAGAGTCAGGGAGCCCTTCCAATAACCAGAACATCCACACAAACCAACCTCCCAACCCCACTGCAAGCAGAGTCAGCTCTTATAGAGGTGGTTTCTTGCCTCACCTCCAAGTTAATGTGGAAGGTGGGGGCACCTGGTGGTGATCTCCTCATCAGTTCCCACCCAAGGCTGGCCAGACCCTGGGTGAAAACCAGTCAGGAGGGTCTTTCCTGCCTGGTTGTGGACATCACTCATGTGCCTGCCCTCATTCAGGGCTGGGGGTTTAAACCCCAGCCCTTCAGTAATCTATGCACACAGCTAAATTTAACTTTTCTAAATCTGGGTCTAAAGCCATCCCAAGAGTCAGACATAAATAGTTATTCAATTTAAATAAAGACCTGCCAGATTACAGAGTTTTCAAAAGAGGTTTATAGATACTTTTTAAGCTATTTTATATTTGCTGTCAAATTAAAAAAAAAGAAAGTCTCCATGCTTAGTCTTTTATTAACAAAAGCTGTCCTACCATTCTCAAGGGCAGAAACTACACTGAAAGGGAAGTTTGCCTTCTAAGACAATCAGAAGAGCAGAGCTTCCAAAGGAGAGTAGATACTAGAACAGAGATGTTTTAAAAGGAAGGATTTTGTCATTACAAATGTTGGTGCTAGAACAGACAAATTCAAAGCAGCAGTGCTGACATTCCCCAGCCTTCTCCTCAGCTCTGCAAAACTCTGCCTGTTCCTCTGCTCCTCTGTTGCCTATGATACCCACCTTTGGTTTTAGTTCCCAAATTTTATTTAGCCAACAAGCAGCTACAAATTCACCACCTATATAATAGTATTATTTTATGTGAAAGTAATCACTGCCATTACTGTAAGGATATTGTGTGAACACAAGATGAAGGCAGGGGATCCACGCAGCTGGGGTTGAGCAAAATTTCTCAGCAGCTTTGTATATAAGGACTAGAGATTTTTTACACTATTTCTTCTAAAAGGTAGACTGCCTCAGGCAAAAATTTAGGAATTTCTCTTCTAGTGAGCAGGCTGTGGTACAGAATTCTATCAAAGCTACCTTTCAGAGGCTTTCTTACTGTGAAATATTAGACTAAAATAATACCTTTCAGGATATCATATAAATGTAGTCACTTGACCTGTTTTTTATGAAGAAACAGTATTAACTTATATTTGAAAATATTTGCATGGAAATTGTATGTGGTGAAAATATTTGGGTTTTCATGAAAAAAAGATTCTGGAAATGTTTAGTCTTTCAATGAAAAAGCTGGGGTTTTTTATGATGAGGGAAAATTTGTTGAAAAATTGAAAAGTCAATGATAAATCAAATCTAGTAGCAGAAATAATCTTTGTATTGTCTGCATAGGTTGTTGGTACCTAAATACTTGAGGCATACTCCAAAAAGTAGATGCTGTCATAAGATTATTGCTCTTACTGCTGCAGGATTGTTCCAGGTTAGGGGTAATCTAATTCATGGCATGGTTGACCATTTAAAAAAAATGCTAAAGAACAGTTTCTTAAGCCTTTTACTTTCTTGTGGAGTTAAGTGTGGTGTGGCTGCCTGATCACTTCTGGTTGAGGTGTGAACAGATTTCTGCAATCAAAGTTCCTTCTTCCAGCACCACCACTGATTGTAATATTTTGAGGGCTCTAACTGTAAGACAGAGAGCTAAGAGGAGGGATAAAGCTGTGCATGCACAGGACCACAGGTGTTCAAGGAGAGGATTCTGTCCTGATCTGTATAAAAAGGCAAATATGAAACTTGAACGCCCTTAGTGCAGACATTGTAAACAGAATGGAAATACAAACAAGGGAATACAGCAGCTTTTGTCTGCCTGTAAACCACACAGTTCTGAGCTGTCTTCTGGGTTCTTTTGTGATCTGAACTTTTTCTGTTTTCCTCCATTCAGGTTCCCAAGAGGGCACAAATGTACAGAAGATCTCTGAGCTTTGTGATTTTTGTCTGTTGATTTCACAGCCTTGGTACTTGTTTCTGGATGAAAAACTGAGGGTTAAATACATACAGTCAAATGAATCCAAGTATCAACAACTTCTACAGACAGTTTAGGTTAATAAGCCTCTCATTAATTTGAAAGTTTCGCTAATTGCCTAGTTTTTTAATCACATTGTATCTGTCCTGGTACTTGCTTACACAGTTACTCATTCTTCAAAGTTACTTTGAAGTTTCAAGTCTGCCTTATGATATAATTGTGTGTAATTCTTTGCTACAATGTCTGGGCCTCTCTGTTTCATCACTAAAACTTTCCTAAATAACTTTTCCTTGTCAAGTCAAATAGTTAAAAAATAAATGGCACATTTTATCTTAGGGCGATAATCTGAAGACTGGATTTGATTTAAGCTTCAAGTCTTGTTCTAATTTTTAGTGAATTTCCATTTTCAGAAATGAATCTGCTGAGCCAAAGATTTTTTGAAGTCTAATTGATAACAGCATTCTTCATCCATTCATACAGAATGTGTGTAGCTGCCCTTTGAGTAATTTTGTCAATATAAATATATCTTCAATGACCTGTTTGAATGTGCAGTTACAAATATACACAAATATATGATTGTTACCCCATAATCACTGGTTTTAAGTTAATATTGTTGTGTTGCCTTGGAAATAGGAATCACATGTCCCACTAGCTCCTAAACTGAAATGATACAGAACTATAGTTTAACTCTTCCTTTGGATAGACTTTTGTAAAACGTTTTTCCTAAAAATTTGTTACAATGGATTTTCATGGGGTTTATGAAAACCTTTTTAGGTTTATATTGCCAGAGTTGCATTTGTATTTACCTCATTTTTCAAAGCAGGATCTTTCCCTGCTACAGTGACAACTTCTGATTTGTTTGATTTTTTCCTTGAACT